GTCTGTTCTGGTAACCCTCTGGGGCAGTTTGTGGTTTTCCACTGAGCCGAAGGATCTTGACTTCCTCTACATCAAAACTGTTCAGGTTCAAAGCCCAGGCTTTCTGATGTTCCTTCTTGGTGGGCGTCTGGCTGTTTTCAGGCTCGTTCTCCTTGCTCAGGAGGAAGCTGGCCACCTCCATCTGGGCAGCACTGCGTTGGGGGATATAGCGGTCACCGCCAGGTTTGCTAGGAGTGGTCTGAACCTTGGAACTGGATTTGCCAGGAGTTCAGCCCGGAGTCCTGCCAGCGCTGTGGGATCAGTTGGCGGCCCGCATGGGTGAGGCGGCCAGGCCTGCGGCTTCCTTGGCTTTGCGCTGCCAGCGCGCAGGGGGTGCACTGGGGATGGGTGTATCCAGCTGAAGCAGCGAGTGCAGGTCACTCTCAAATGCTAACTGAGCCATGGGAGCGCCCGCAGTGGGATGGGTCCTTGCAGTTGGTGCCTGCGGAGCTCCTGCGCTCCTTAGCAGGTTGCAGTTCTGACCCGGTGGGTTGATTTTTTATTTAAATTAAAATTAAAAAATAGACACAGTCTTGCTATGTTGCCTGGACTAGTTTTGAACTCTTGGGCTCAAGCAATTCTCCTGCCTCGGCCTCCCAAAGTGCTGGGATTACAGATATGAGCCACAATGCTTGGCCAGTGAGTTGATTTTTGACAAGAGTGCCAAGACAATTCAATGGGGAAAGGATGGTCTTTCCAACAACTGGTCTTGGAACAACTGAATATCCACATGTAAAACATGAAGTTGGAAGACTACCTCACTCCATACACAACAAGTGAACTCAAAATGGGTCACATTTTTATTTACAAAGTCTTAGAAGAAAACAGCTATGAATCATGGTTTGCGTTAGGCGTATTTGTAGACAGAAAGATTAGTGGTTGCTTAGGGCTGGGAGAAGAGGGAGATACGGAGTTCCTGCTAATAGGTACAAAGTTTATTTTTGAGGTGATGAAAAGGTTCTCAACTTAGATTGTGACGATAGTTGTGCAACTCTTTAAATAAACTAAAAATAGTTGAATTGTATATTTTAAACGAGTAACTTTTTTTTTTTTTTTTGAGACAAGATCTCACTTTGGTGACTAGGCTGGAGTGTAGTGGTGTGATCTCGGCTCACTGCAACCTCTGCCTCCTGGGTAAAAGCGATTCTCATGCTTCAGCCTCCCGGGTAGCTGGGATTACCAGTATGCTCCACCACACCCGGCTAATTTTTTGTATTTTGGTAGAGACAGAGTTTTACCATGTTGGACAGACCGGTCTCGAACTCCTGACCTCAAGTGATTTGCCCACTTTAGTGGGATTACAGGCATGAGCCACTGCGCTCAGCCCAAATGAGTATATTTTATGGTATGTGAATTATGTATCTCAATAAAAATATTTAATAAAAGAAGGTCTATAGCAGCTTTACTCATAGCCAAAACTAGAAATAACCCAAATGTTCGTTAGCAGGAAAACAGACTAACAAACTTGGTATATCCATATAATGGAATACAACTCAGTAATATAAATGAACCATTCATATATGCAACCACACAGATATACCTCAGAAACATTATGTTGACCACAAGAAGTCAGCAATAAAAGAGTACATACTGTATAAGTCTGTTTATATGAAGTTCTAGAACAGGCTGAACTAATATATGGAGAAAAAAGTTGGTTGCCTCTTGTATGTGGTGGAGTGTCAGTTGCAATGGCGTGCAAGGGAACACTCTGGATGATGGAAATTCCCTATCTTATTGGATGTGGGTGACCTACTGTGTGTGTGTGTGTGTGTGTGTGTGTGTGTGTGTGTGTATATATATATATATATTTAGTTGGTGCAAACATAATTGTGGTGGTTTGTTTTTTTTTTGAGACGGAGTCTCGCTCTGTTGCCCAGGCTGGAGTGCAACGGCAGATTACAGGCACATGCCACCACGCAAGGCTAATTTTTGTAATTTTTAGTAGAGATGGGGTTTTACAACATTGGCCAGGCTGGTCTCGAACTCCTGACCTCAAATGATCTGCCCACCTCGGCCTCCCAAAGTGTTGGGATTGCAGGTGTGAGCCACCACAACGGGCCTAATTGCAGTTTTGGCCATTACTTTGTTTTTTGTTTTTTGTTTTTTTTTGAGATGGAGTTTCGCTCTTGTTACCCAGGCTGGAGTGCAATGGCGCCATCTCGGCCCACCGCAACCTCCGCCTCCTGGGTTCAGGCAATTCTCCTGCCTCAGCCTCATGAGTAGCTGGGATTACAGGCACGTGCCACCATGGCCAAAACCACAATTATGTTTGCACCAACCTAAAATAAATTTGTCAAAACTCATTGTACTTAAAAATCTGTGTGTTTTATGCCATGTAAATTGTACATCAATGAAAAAGAAATACTATTAAAAAAAAACAGGATTAAGCATCTTTGAGGACCAGAACTAAAGAACAGAAGCAAAGCATTGAGCAAAGCTGAGATTCTGAGTCCTCTGGGTCTTGGCACCCGAAGCAGGCAGCAGCTGCCAGGAGCTCAGATCCTGTGGGGTAACTCTGCTCCACGTAATACGGGGCGGGGGGTGCAGTCAGAGGCTAGTGCAAGGCAGACTAAGAAACTCCTCATCTGCACAAGTCACAGAAACTGCTGGTTGGCAGCTGTAGGCCTTGCTAGGCGGGAGGATGAACACAAACTCATGACTAAGATTTGAAGCAACCCCCAAGCTCACTGCTCAACAGCTAGAACTGTGATATGCCCAAACCATTACAGGATGTGAGATTCAAACCACTAACAGAACACCTGATTTTGGATTGCAACCCTAGGCTGCTAACTGGAAGGAGTCTTCGACTAGGTTCCTGAGAAGCAGAACCTGAGACAGGGGTTCTAGTGCAAGTGATTTATTGGGGCTGCTTCCTGGAGACGGGGAGAGAGGGAAAGAAACAGGACTGGGAAGGGGAAGAAGCTAAGTAAGAATGTGTTCTGCATTAGGGTTCTCCAGAGAATCAGAGCTAATAGGAGATATATCTATATCTTTTCTATAGCTATGGCATCGATCTGTCTGCATCTATATCATATCTATATCTGTATCTGTATGATCTATCTATACCTATACATTTATAAATATTATAAACATTTGCTGACATAATTATGGAATCTGAAATGTCCCAAGGCCTGCAGTTGGCAAGCTGGAGATCCTCCCAGCTGAGGATGTGGTTCCAGCCTCAGTCTGAAGGCCTAAGAACCAGGAGAGTCTATGGTGTAAGTTCAAAAGCTGGCCATTTTGAGACCCAAGAATTGATGCTTCTGTTGAGAGTCTGAATGCAGGAAAAGACTCATGTCCCAGATCGAGTCAGATAGGAGGAGTCCCCTCTTACTCATGAAAAGGTCTATTCAGACCCTCAATTAATTGGCTGAGACCCACCCTCAGTAGGGTGGGCTGCTCCACTCAATTTACCAGTTCAAATGTTAGTGCCATCCCAATACACCCACACAGACACACCCAGAATGCTGTTTGACCAAATGTCTAGGCACCCTGTAACATAGTCAAGTTGGCACATGTAATTAACCAATGCAAGTTCCCTGCTGGAATCTAGCCCCAGCCTGATCTCATGGAGGTTTTGGAGCACAAATTATATGACAGAAAATGAATCCCACTTTGAGGCAAAGGGTGTGGCCTCTTATATTTTTATTTTTGAGACAGGGTCTCACTCTACACTCAGGCTGGAGTGCAGTGGCGTGATCATGGCTCACTGCAGCCTCAACCTCCCAGGCTCAAGTGATCCTCCCACCTCAGCTTCCTGAGTAGCTGAGTCTACAGGCACACACCACCATGCCCAACTGATTTTTAAATTTTTATTTGCAGAGACAGGGTCTCACTATGTTGCCCAGGCTGGTTTCAAACTCCTGGGCTCAAATGATCCTCCCACCTTGACCTCCCAAAGTGCTGGGATTATAGGCATGAGGTACTGCCCCTGGCTGGGTCTGGCCTTTTTTATCCATATATCAAGTCAGTGAAGCATCTACCCATTAAACAAAGAGTAGTTCTCTGAGGGAAGGGAGCAACCAGGCGGTAGGGGAGTGGTGCACAAGCAGATAGAGGTTTTTTTGGTAGAACATCAACAATACCCAGTACAGGGGCACCTTCAGAATTCCTACACAAAGGTGGATGAGTAGAAAGGGGGAGAAAGAGGGAAAGAGAGAGACTGTGAGAGAAAGAGCAACAAATATTTATAAACAAATAGAAAATCTCCCATTTAAAATGAACATGCACACCACAGTTCCATAGCCCAAGGAAGAAATATAATTCTAAAACAACGAATGAGATAAGCAATCAAAACAACAGCTCACTGGAGATGAAATCATCCTCATAGGATAGGGTGGAAAATACTTTCAAATAAATACGCTGATCTATCTCGAGGAGAATAAAGTAACACCCACTAAGAAAAAAGATTGTAAAACATTTGCTGATGCCAGGGAGATGGCCCCTGACCAAGGGTGTTAAGAGAGAAATATGGTGTCAATGGTAAACTTCCTGCTAGAACTGAACTTCATGTTTATTTTCGGAGCCATTTCCCCCAGTAGGCAGGGGCTTAATCTCAGTCAATTCAGCATTTCGCCCGTTCCCCTTTTCTCAGTAATATCTGGTTTTGCAATTTTTTTTGTTTTTTGAGGCCAAGTCTTGCTCTGTCACCCAGGCTGGAGTGTAGTGACCTGATCTCTGCTCACTGCAATCTCTGCCTCCTGGGTTCAAGTGACTCTCCTGCCTTAGCCTTCCAGGTAGCTGGGATTATAGGCGCCCACCACCATGCCCAGCTAATTTTCATAGTTTTAGTAGAGATGGCATTTCACAATCTTGGCCAGGCTGGTCTCAAACTCCTGACCTCATGATCCACCCACCTCGGCCTCCCAAAGTGCTGGGATTACAGGCCTGAGCCACCGCGCCCAGCCTGGTGTTGCAATTTTGGGAGTGTGACTCTGGTCTTTATGATTTGCTCATGTCAGCTCCTGCCTGTACTCCAGCCTGTCTGGACCTCAACCATCGATCCATGAAGTCTCCGATTCATGGTAAGTTCATTCATTCCCACATGCAGGACTTCCACTGGGCCATGTCTCACACAGATCCCTTGGCACTCCTCTTGGGACATGGGAAATGCTCTGTTTTCTCTTGCTCTTCTCTGTGGCCTCAAAAGACTTACTGGAGCTATGTGGGGCCCTTTTTGTTTCCTGCTGCTGTAGCTGGCGTGGGAAACCATCTACTCTCTCCCCTCTGTGACTGGTTCGTGGGAACTCCTGAAGGCTGACTTGTTCACGTGCAGACACAACCTGCACTGTGTTGCCTCTGCACTTGAAGTGTGATGGGAACTCAGGGATCCTACTTCCTCCCCAGATTTGACGTTGGGAACGTGGCTCAAAGACCCTGTTTTCTCATATCCCAAAACCTGAATGGGGATTTTACTGTGCTCCCTTATCCCGAGGGCTTGGCCATGGGAGGCAGCAGTGCCCAGACTCTTCTCAGGAAGGCTCCCAAGCCTCTGACTTTTCTGCTTTCCTCTGATTCCTCTCTCCCTCCCCCTTAGCCCATGGAAGCCTCATGCATCTTAGGGCCCCTTCCTCAGAAGCTGGACCTGGAGAAGAAAGGCGAGGATGTGTCATTTCAGGAATACAGATGGGACATGCTTAGTTTTAAAATTATTAGAAATTCAGAGGTGGGGGTGGACAAAGGGCATTGAAGACAAAAGGATGGTCAAGAAAATGGATGGTGGTAGCATAGCTTTTACAAACTGGGGTGTCCGATGGTCAGTACTATTGAGCTTGTGCTGTGGCAATGTAGACGGCACCTCCTCCTCCTTCTCTTCAGTGCTTCTGTAAAGTTTCTACAGATTAAGAGGCCTGATGTGGATAAGCTTTTCGTGAAATTGAAGGGACTCTGTTCCACATTTGAGTCAAGATACTGCAAAAGAATGTGTAGGATGGTGAGATCATTCATGAACTGAATGGATTCAGTGGAAGCAGAGGCAGAATGTCTAGACCGAGGAAACCATGAGAAAGTGAGCCCTCCAGGGGTTCACAGAAATTGTGGGAAGCTTTTTAAGACAAACCTTATCTAGATTTTTTTTTTGTTGTTGAGATGGAGTCTCACTCTGTCACCCAGGCTGGAGTGCAATGGTGCAGTCTCAGCTCACTGCAACTTCCACTTCCAGGTTCAAGCGATTCTCCTGCCTCAGCCCCCCAAGTAGCTGGGATGGGTGCCCGCCACCATGCCCAGCTAATTTTTGTATTTTTTGTAGAGAAGGGGTTTCACCATGTTGGTCAGGCTGGTCTCAAACTGACCTCAAGTGATCCACCTGCCTTGGCCTCCCAAATTACAGGTGTGAGCCACTGTGCCTGACCAAATCTTATTTAGATTTTTAAAGAGAAGAGGCACCTCAGCTGACATCTGTGTTAGACATGCTGAAAGGAAACATGTAGACTCCCTCTTGGTCTGTGAATGGAGTCATGGAAGCCTTGGCTGAGGACCTACTATGGGCTAGATGTGCTATCTTTGGTACCATGAATATGAGAATTAAAATCATATGCCACTTGTCATGAAGCCTCCCTCCCTCAGTCAATATTGTAAGCTAAGTGCCAGAGAGAGGTATGTCACCCCAGAGGACTGAGAGCGTCTGCACTAACACACTTCAGGGGAACCTAACTCTTCTCTATGGCCTCAGAAGACTTACTGGAGCTATCTAGGGCCTTTTCTGCTTCCTGCTGCTCTAGCTGGTGTGGGAAACCATCCTACTCTCTACCCTCTATGGCTGGTTCATGGGAACCCTTGAAGACTGCCTTGATCCACATGCAGCATGGGAGGCATGGGAGAGTTCACTTTCTGTCCTATCCCTGTCCTCTTCTGCCCCCAAAGACCACAGAACGTTTTGCCAACATGGTCCTAATCCTTATGTCTGAATTTCTGACACAATGCCGTGGATATTTCATGCCCTTTGCCTAAGTAAAGCGTGGACATTTCTCTTCTCTATTGGTTATTGTTATTATCGTTAACCATTGCTGAGTGAGCACGGGACTTATACACCACAGAAGGTACGTGATGACCACATTGCAATACTGTGGTTAAGCTGATGCGAGAGTACAGGTCAAGTATGAAGAGGAGGTGTCACCAAAACAGGAAAATTCCCATTATCTCAAAAACGTTTGGGTAAGAGAACTGCCTTAGTGTCCACAGGTCGGGTGAAAAACAGCAGGTTCCTTTTGGAGGGATGCATTTGTCATAAACAAACTGGTTGTGAGATTCTTAGTACATTTGGCATGAAGATTAGGAGACATTGTTTTTTTTTTTTTTTGAGACGGAGTCTCGCTCCGTCACCGGGCTGGAGTGCAATGGTGCAATCTCAGCTCACTGCAACCTCCGCCTCCTGGGTTGAAGCAATTCTCCTGCCTCAGCCTCCCAAGTAGCTGGTATTACAGGCAACCACCACCACGCCTGGCTAATTTTTTTTTTTTGTATTATCAGTAGAGAAGGGGTTTCACCATGTTGGTCAGGCTGGTCTTGAACTCCTGACCTTGTGATTCAGCCACCTAGGCCTCCCAAAATACTGGAATTACAGGCATGAGCCACCATGCCCGGCCCGAGAGGTTGGTTTCTTTAAGTGAGAGTTGTAAAGAACAATCCACCCTCACCCTTTCCCACAGAAACAGCATCAAAATTAAAAAGCAAACCAATTCTCTAAGTTTCAATTGTTGAGGAGGGAGAGAAGCTCTTACATTGTGGACTCCTGCAGCAGAGGGATTATGGGACTCTGATAAAATAGGAGTTTTGTCACAGATGGCAAAAAGTCCAAGCCAGCTTTCTTCCCTCTCCTTTAATAGATGAACAAACCCAAGGCAAAATAATCTTTGGGACAACTTGGCAGAGAGAGACAGTTGTGCATGAACAAACCCAAGGCAAAATAATCTTTGGGACAACTTGGCAGAGAGAGACAGTTGTGCCTGATGGAGGCCTTGCTTGGCCAGTGGACGTAACTTTACATGTGGTAGATCTGAGATGGTAGTGAGAGGAAAGGGGAAGGAAGGAGAAGGGGAAAGAAAGAAGTAGAAGAGAAAAGAAGGCTAGCTTTGAACCTGTTTTTTTCTCTTTTTTTTGAGACAGAGTCTCTTTGTCCAGGCTGGAGCTCAGTGACATGATCTTGGCTCACTGCAACCCTCACCTCCCGGTTCAAGCTATTCTCCTGCCTCAGTTTCCCAATTACAGGTGTGCACCACCACACCCGGTTCATTTATTTTTATTTTTAGTAGAGACAGGATTTCGACGTGTTGGCCAGGCTGGTCTCGAACTCCTGACTTCAAGTGATCTACCTGCTTTGGCCTTTCAAAGTGCTGGGATTACAAGAGTAAGCCACTGTGCCCGGCCGTGCCCAGTTTTCTGTATGCTGCTGATTTGCTGTGTGATCTGAGCCTCTGTTTCCCTTCTCTGGGACTCAGAGTTCTCTGTCTTCTTGATAGAGATTGAGAAGTTGAGTTCCCTTACAATTTTGTCATTCTGAAACACAGCAAAGTCATATTCATTGTTTCAGAGGGTAGATCCAGATTTTCCTAATGAAGAAAGATTTCTTTAGCTCTTAGAAAAACACTTACAGAGGTGAGGAAACACTTTTCCTCCCTGAATTTACCAACTTACTAGTCTTTGAAAATAAAAAACTGTTGGCTTTGTTGATGTTCTCTATTCAATATGTATTTTTCTATTTCATTAATTTCTGCTTTTATATGTATTTCTTTCTTCCACATTAAAAAAATCTTGTTTTTTCTTTTTGTGGTAAGAAAGGATAGATTTTTATTGTCAAAAAGGCACGCTTGGCCGGGAGAGCAGTGGCTCACATCTGTAATCCCAGCACTTTGGGAAGCCAAGATGGGTGGATTTCTTGAGAATAGGAATTTGAGACCAGCCTGGGCAACATAGTGAGACCCTGTCTCTACAAAAAATAAAGTAGCTGGGCATGGTGGCATGTGCCTGTTGTCCCAGGTACTTGGGAGGCTGAAATGGGAGGATGGCTGGAGCCCAGGGGGTCAAGGCTGCAGTGAGCTTTGATGGGGCCACTGCACTTCAGCCTGGATGACATAGTGAGATCCTGTCTCAAAAAAAAAAAAAAAAGAAAAAGCAAGCTTTTAAGAGAGTAGTTAAATTTTTTTCTCTCTGAAAAAATGTAATTAAAAAATTTTAATTAACACATACTAATTGTACATATTAATGGATACAATGTGACGTTTCAATATATGCATACATTTTATACTGATTAAATCAGTATATTAGCATATCTATCACCTCAAACATTTATCATTTTTTGGGCAAAAACACTCAAAATCCTTTCTTCCAGCTATTCTGAAATAGTCATTACATTATTGTTAACTATAGTAGTCATCCTACTGTGTAACATAACATCAGCACTTATTCCTCCTAAATAATTAAAGCTTTGAACCCATTAATCAGTCTCTTCCCATTCCCTCTTTACTTAATTTTTTTTTTTGAGATGGAGTCTCACTCTGTTGCCCAGGCTGGAGTGCAGTGGCATGATCTTGGCTCACTGCAACCTCTGCCTCCTGGGTTCAAGCAGTTCTGCCTCAGCCTCCCGAGTAGCTGGGACTACAGGCACCTGCCATCAGGCCCAGCTAATTTTTGTATTTTTATAGAAACAGGGTTTCACCATGTTGGCCAGGCTGGTCTCAAACTCCTGACCTTAGGTGATCCTCGCACCTCGGCCTCCCAAAGTGCTGGGATTACAGGTGTGAGCCATCATGCCCAGCCACAATTTTTTTTTTCTAATACAGGATCTTGCTATGTTGTTTAGACTGGCCTGGAATTCCTGGCCTCAAATGATATGATCCTTGCACTTTGGCCTCTTGAGTAGCTGAAATTATAGGCATGAGCCACTGCACTGGGCCCTCCTTACTTCTGGAAGTTGTTTTGCTCATTAAATTTCAGACTTTCTTCTCTAATAAACACATTTAAGGCTATCACTTTCCCTCTTAATACAGATTTAGCCATATTGCACAGGTTTTGATATGTAGTGCCTTCT